AAAAAAGCAGCGCTGTTTTATCATACTAGATACATTTGAACGTTCTGTTATAATGCTATTCTGTGCGGTCGTCACCTGTCTAATAAAATGCATAGCATATTAAAGCGTCTTTGGTGTTTCCATGTTTTCTGCAAAACATATCCGGAATCTCGGTGTTATCAACACATTGGCAGGGGAAATCGAGGGGTTATGAAGTCATTGGCAGGCGACACCAGAGCCGATCCTAGACTTCTGGGGGCCCTACGCAAAACTGTGTCGGCCGGGTGGAGTGGGGTTTGAGTGGTTATGAACTAATGAATGAAACGCATTTGTTCGTGTTTCACTCCGTCTCGAATCGCGCTCGCGGAAAGCACTTGAGAAACAGGCTCAGTACGCAGTGTTAATTTTGACAGCAAATTTTGATTTAGTTTTAGTCAGTCTTTTGACTAAAATGCCGTTTAGTTTTAGTCATATTTTAGTCATCTGAATTGTTTTTAGTTTTAGTCATAACCGCTGGCCAAATTAAAAAACGAAACTAAAATTAAATCAACCCCTGGGGGCCCCCTGGTGTTTCGGGGGCCCTATGCAGCTTGCGTACTTTGCGTATAGGGAGGATCGGCTCTGGGCGACACAATGACACTATAGACACGGTTCGTGTCACTAGTTAAAATTGCTTATTTCTCTGGATTTAAACATTCTTCGAAACATTTGGGATAATGCAAGTACACAAGTCAGCAAAATATATAACACTGTTCTAGTGGTTTTTGAGTTGTCGTCTTCTTCCCCACAGCCGAAGCAATCCGACGGGACTCTGGTAGAAATCAAGTTCATGGATGAGCTAAAGTATTAAAGGGGTCATATGATGCGATTTCAATTTTTCCTTTCTCTTTGGAGTGTTACAAGCTCTTGGTGCATTCTAGTGGTTTTTGGATATTTTAATTAAAAAATCGTACATATTGTGCATTTAAAGGCACAACTTTGGGAGAAACCAGGCTCAGTCAGGGGCCAGTTCTCCTCTGGCTAGACAAAACCAGCATGGTGTGGTTTAATTCCAGACCTCGGAATGAGAATAAAACAGACTAATATTAGCGCAGATGCCATTCTTCTTACGATGTAACAAGTACATCAGGTGTTGTGGGAAGTGTTCCCGGTTCCGGTTGACCTAATTAATGCAGCCTAACAATCCTTTAACGGATCTGAATTATAGAAATGCGAAATCCAAAGAGATATTCTTTATAAAAGTTAAGTGTCAACCATGCCCCCTCTAAAACAGCTCGTTCTAACACACCCCCACATGTCTATGTTACGATGTGGGAAGATTTGCATAACGCCGCCCAAATGTTCACGCAAAGAAAGAAGGCCTAACTTTTATTCTCGC